GGCACAATAGGTGGGTGGCATATAGGTGGGTGGCATATGAGTGGGTGGCACAATAAGTGGGTGGCACAATAGGTGGGTGGCACAATAGGTGGGTGGCACAATGAGTGGGTGGCACAATGAGTGGGTGGCACAATGAGTGGGTGGCACATAGAGTGGGTGGCACAATAGGTGGGTGGCACAATGAGTGGGTGGCACAATAGATGGGTGGCACAATGAGGTGGGTGGCACAATGAGTGGGTGGCATATAGGTGGGTGGCACAATGAGTGGGTGGCACAATAGGTGGGTGGCACAATAGGTGGGTGACACAATGAGTGGGTGGCATATAGGTGGGTGGCACAATGGGTGGGTGGCACAATGAGTGGGTGGCACAATAGGTGGGTGGCACAATGAGTGGGTGGCACAATGAGTGGGTGGCACAATAGGTGGGTGGCACAATGAGTGGGTGGCACAATGAGTGGGTGGCACAATAGGTGGGTGGCACAATGAGTGGGTGGCATATAGATGGGTGGCATATAGGTGGGTGGCACAATGAGTGGGTGGCACAATGAGTGGGTGGCACAATGGGTGGGTGGCACAATGAGTGGGTGGCATATAGGTGGGTGGCACAATGGGTGGGTGGCATATAGGTGGGTGGCACAATAGGTGGGTGGCATATAGGTGGGTGGCACAATGGATGGGTGGCATATAGGTGGGTGGCACAATAGGTGGGTGGCACAATGGGTGGGTGGCATATAGGTGGGTGGCACAATAGGTGGGTGGCACAATAGGTGGGTGGCACAATGAGTGGGTGGCACAATGAGTGGGTGGCACAATGAGTGGGTGGCACAATGAGTGGGTGGCACAATGAGTGGGTGGCACAATGAGTGGGTGGCACAATGAGTGGGTGGCACAATGAGTGGGTGGCACAATGAGTGGGGGGCACAATGAGTGGGTGGCACAATGAGGGGGGTGCACAATGAGTGGGTGGCACAATGAGTGGGTGGCACATGAGTGGGGGGCACAAGAGTGGGTGGCACAATGAGTGGGTGGCATGAGGTGGGTGGCACAATGAGTGGGTGGCACAATGAGTGGGTGGCACAATGAGTGGGTGGCACAATGAGTGGGGGCACAATGAGTGGGGGCACAATGAGTGGGTGGCACAATGAGGGGGGTGGCACAATGAGTGGGTGGCACAATGAGTGGGTGGCACAATGAGTGGGGTGGCACAATGAGTGGGTGGCACAATGAGTGGGTGGCACAATGAGTGGGGGGCACAATGAGTGGGTGGCACAATGAGTGGGTGGCACAATGAGTGGATGGGGTGGCACAATGAGTGGGTGGCACAATGAGTGGGTGGCACAATGAGTGGGTGGCACAATGGGTGGGTGGCACAATGAGTGGGTGGCACAATGAGTGGGTGGCACAATGAGTGGGTGGCACAATGAGTGGGTGGCACAATGAGGTGGGGGACACAATGAGGTGGGGTGACACAATGAGTGGGTGGCACAATGAGTGGGTGGCACAATGAGGGGGGTGGCACAATGAGTGGGGGGCACAATGAGTGGGTGGCACAATGAGTGGGGTGGCACAATGAGTGGGTGGCACAATGAGGGGGGTGGCACAATGAGTGGGGGGCACAATGAGGGGGGTGGCACAATGAGTGGGTGGCATTCGAGTGGGTGACACAATGAGCGGGTGGCACAATGAGTGGGTGGCACAATGAGTGGATGGCACAATGAGTGGGTGGCACAATGAGTGGGTGGCACAATGAGTGGGGGGCACAATGAGTGGGTGGCACAATGAGTGGGTGGCACAATGAGGGGGGTGGCACAATGAGTGGGGGGCACAATGAGTGGGGGGCACAATGAGTGGGTGGCACAATGAGTGAGTGGCACAATGAGGGGGGGACACAATGAGTGGGAGACACAATGAGTGGGTGGCACAATGAGGGGGGTGGCACAATGAGTGGGGGGCACAATGAGTGGGTGGCACAATGAGTGGGGTGGCACAATGAGTGGGTGGCACAATGAGGGGGGTGGCACAATGAGTGGGGGGCACAATGAGTGGGTGGCACAATGAGTGGGGTGGCACAATGAGTGGGGGGGCACAATGAGGGGGGTGGCACAATGAGTGGGTGGCATTCGAGTGGGTGACACAATGAGCGGGTGGCACAATGAGTGGGTGGCACAATGAGTGGATGGCACAATGAGTGGGTGGCACAATGAGTGGGTGGCACAATGAGTGGGTGGCACAATGAGTGGGTGGCACAATGAGGGGGGTGGCACAATGAGTGGGGGGCACAATGAGTGGGGGGCACAATGAGTGGGTGGCACAATGAGTGAGTGGCACAATGAGGGGGGGACACAATGAGGGGGGGACACAATGAGTGGGTGGCACAATGAGTGGGTGGCACAATGAGGGGGGTGGCACAATGAGTGGGGGGCACAATGAGTGGGTGGCACAATGAGTGGGGTGGCACAATGAGTGGGTGGCACAATGAGGGGGGTGGCACAATGAGTGGGGGGCACAATGAGTGGGTGGCACAATGAGTGGGGTGGCACAATGAGTGGGGGGCACAATGAGGGGGGTGGCACAATGAGTGGGGGGCACAATGAGTGGGTGGCATTCGAGTGGGTGACACAATGAGTGGGTGGCACAATGAGTGGGTGGCACAATGAGTGGGTGGCACAATGAGTGGGAGGCATACAATGAGTGGGGGGCACAATGAGTGGGTGGCACAATGAGTGGGGGGCACAATGAGTGGGTGGCACAATGAGTGGGTGGCACAATGAGGGGGGTGGCACAATGAGTGGGGGGCACAATGAGTGGGGGGCACAATGAGTGGGTGGCACAATGAGTGAGTGGCACAATGAGGGGGGGACACAATGAGGGGGGGACACAATGAGTGGGTGGCACAATGAGTGGGTGGCACAATGAGTGGGGGGCACAATGGGTGGGGGGCACAATGAGTGGGGTGGCACAATGAGTGGGTGACACAATGAGTGGGGTGGCACAATGAGTGGGGGGCACAATGAGGGGGGTGGCACAATGAGTGGGGGGCACAATGAGTGGGTGGCATTCGAGTGGGTGACACAATGAGCAGGTGGCACAATGAGCGGGTGGCACAATGAGTGGGTGGCACAATGAGTGAATGGCACAATGAGTGGGGGGCACAATGAGTGGGGGGCACAATGAGTGGGTGGCACAATGAGTGGGTGGCACAATGAGTGGGTGGCACAATGAGTGGGTGGCACAATGAGGGGGTGGCACAATGAGTGGGGGGCACAATGAGTGGGGGGCACAATGAGTGGGTGGCACAATGAGTGAGTGGCACAATGAGGGGGGGACACAATGAGGGGGGGACACAATGAGTGGGTGGCACAATGAGTGGGTGGCACAATGAGTGGGGGGCACAATGGGTGGGGGGCACAATGAGTGGGGTGGCACAATGAGTGGGTGACACAATGAGTGGGGTGACACAATGAGTGGGGGGCACAATGAGTGGGTGGCACAATGAGTGGGAGGCACAATGAGTGGGTGGCACAATGAGTGGGGTGGCACAATGAGTGGGGGCACAATGAGTGGGGTGCACAATGAGTGGGGGGCACAATGAGTGGGTGGCACAATGAGTGGGTGGCACAATGAGTGGGGACACAATGAGTGGGGGGCACAATGAGTGGGGGGACACAATGAGTGGGGGGTGGCACAATGAGTGGGTGGCACAATGAGTGGGGGGCACAGTGATGGGTGGCACAATGAGGGGGGCACAATGAGTGCGTGGCATATGGGTGGGTGGCACAATGAGTGGGGGGCATACAAGTGGGGTGGCACAATGAGTGGGGACACAATGAGTGGGGGGCACAGTGAGTGGGGGGTGGCACAATGAGTGGGGGGCACAGTGAGTGGGGGGGGTGGCACAATGAGTGGGGGGTGGCACAATGAGTGGGGGCACAGTGAGTGGGTGGCACAAGTGTGTGGAGTGGGTGGCACAATGATGGGGGGCATATGGGTGGGTGGCACAATGAGTGGGGGGCATACAAGTGGGTGGCACAATGAGTGGGGGGCATATGGATGTGTGGCATATGGGTGGGTGGCACAAAAGGAGAGTGGGTGGCACAATGAGTGGGGGGCATACAAGTGGGTGGCACAAAAGGAGAGTGGGTGGCACAATGAGTGGGGGGCATACAAGTGGGTGGCACAATGAGTGGGTGGCATATGGATGTGTGGCATATGAGTGGGTGGCACAAAAGGAGAGTGGGTGGCACAAAAAGGGGTGGCACAATTATCAATAACAGGGCTAAGACTGGAGAAAGTGAAGATTGTGTCATATTATTAATGGTAATAACAATAATAATAATTTTTATTCAGGTAAAAGTACATACATACAAAATAAGTTACAAACAGAATGTTGGAGTGCTACCTTGAGGTGCTTCCTTGAGGTGCTTCCGGGACTTAGTGTCCCCGCGGCCCGGTCGTCGACCAGGCCTCCTGCTAGTTAGAGCTAGTATATCAACCAGTCATCTCAAAATAACGTCGCTTTTCGCTCGTAAGCGCTCTAAGGCCAAAAATTGACGTAATTTGAAATGAAATCGGCTCACAAAAGTGATGTTCTGTTCTGTTTTCTGTTTGGGTCCTCCAGTTTAATCTCTTAGGTTAGGAGAAGACACATTCACTTAACGTTTTCATGACGTTTTGAAACTTTAGGAGAATTTCCTGCCCTCTTAACCTACCAGAGGACTCTTAACTTACTGTTTTAGAAAAAAATAAATCCGAAATTTATTTTCAATTTTTGTTCATTTTTAAATTACGTCAGTTTCCACCATACGTGCAAACGTCTAAATTCAGACGTAATTTGTAAGAGGACATGTCAAGTATGTACTATGCTTAAAGTCACTAACACGCACAACATTTTGGGCATGGTAAGTACAAAGTACATACAAAGTAATACTTGTATAGGTATTAAAAATTAAAGCAAGTCACTGTGATAGCTTTCATTTAATCTGATAATTGAAGATACTGCTCCTGGAGACATTTGATATGCAGATAAGTCCAATACGTACACAGTTTCAATCTACTGCTGAAAGCAGGTGTTAATTTTTGTTTTGCAATTGCAGTTAAGGGTTTGAGGAAGGCAGCAGACCTCCAGGAACCACTTCTCAGGAGAATCTGGAAGGTATGCCAGCAGCACAACATTGAAAGCCACATTACATTTGTCACTGATATTCAAACTCAATTTGTTTTTCCACATTATACCCAGAATGCTGTGTATACTAGTGTCCTTAGGTATTGTAATTGTTTTACAATAAAATGGTAGATTCCTAGGGATCTTATGTATATCCTTTTGCCAAAATAAATCAATTATTATTACAGTATTATTATTATTATTATTATTATTATTATTATTATTATTATTATTATTATTACTATAAGATTTGGCCAGCTGCTTTTCTCTAATTAATCAAGGTATCCTTTTAATTAATGAAACCTCTGAATTATAATTTCTGCATGTTGGCCTTATAACCCTCCTTAGATTAAGACAGTTTAAAACTGTTTCATCAATTCAGTTACATATAAAGAAGCAAGCACACGACCACAAATACAATACTTCTTCACCAGAAAACAGTGCACATGTTATAACAGCTACAGCATTAAGTTTATGAAATGAGAAATGATATGTATATTACTTATGACACAAGTTAGACCTTAACTGGATTATGCAGCTATGGTATGGTGTCCACAATTAGAGATGCACAACACTCCAGATTAAATTAACAAAATTGCACTGGACCCCATACAGGCTTTTTTTGCATGCATAGGGTTAGGCTTAGTGTCAGTGTCGTCCCATGACTTCCATGACCCAGAGTTGGCCCATGACTTCCTGTGATCCAATTTTGAAGTAGTTGGTTTACACCTGCTCAAAGTTTGCTACGACTCTAGGCCAAATCGCTTGTGAAGCGCCGGGCGTGTTTTACCGCTGCGCCACGGGGACTACACATTGTATCATTGACAAGTGTAATAGTGAAAGTATTGGAAAAACTAATCAAAACTAAATGGGTAGAACACCTAGAGAGAAATGATATAATATCAGACAGACAGTATGGTTTTCGATCTGGAAGATCCTGTGTATCGAATTTACTCAGTTTCTATGATCGAGCCACAGAGATATTACAGGAAAGAGATGGTTGGGTTGACTGCATCTATCTGGACCTAAAAAAGGCTTTCGACAGAGTTCCACATAAGAGGTTGTTCTGGAAACTGGAAAATATTGGAGGGGTGACAGGTAAGCTTCTATCATGGATGAAAAATTTTCTGACTGATAGAAAAATGAGGGCAGTAATCAGAGGCAATGTATCGGAATGGAGAAATGTCACAAGTGGAGTACCACAGGGTTCAGTTCTTGCACCAGTGATGTTTATTGTGTACATAAATGATCTACCAGTTGGTATACAGAATTATATGAACATGTTTGCTGATGATGCTAAGATAATAGGAAGGATAAGGAATTTAGATGACTGTCATGCCCTTCAAGAAGACCTGGACAAAATAAGTATATGGAGCACCACTTGGCAAATGGAATTTAATGTTAATAAATGTCATGTTATGGAATGTGGAATAGGAGAACATAGACCCCACACAACCTATATATTATGTGAGAAATCTTTAAAGAATTCTGATAAAGAAAGAGATCTAGGAGTGGTTCTAGATAGAAAACTATCACCTGAGGACCACATAAAGAATATTGTGCAAGGAGCCTATGCTATGCTTTCTAACTTCAGAATTGCATTTAAATACATGGATGGCGATATTCTAAAGAAATTGTTCATGACTTTTGTTAGGCCAAAGCTAGAATATGCAGCTGTTGTGTGGTGCCCATATCTTAAGAAGCACATCAACAAACTGGAAAAGGTGCAAAGACATGCTACTAAGTGGCTCCCAGAACTGAAGGGCAAGAGCTACGAGGAGAGGTTAGAAGCATTAAATATGCCAAAACTAGAAGACAGAAGAAAAAGAGGTGATATGATCACTACATACAAAATAGTAACAGGAATTGATAAAATCGACAGGGAAGACTTCCTGAGACCTGGAATTTCAAGAACAAGAGGTCATAGATTTAAACTAGCTAAACACAGATGCCGAAGAAATATAAGAAAATTCACCTTCGCAAATAGAGTGGTAGACGGTTGGAACAAGTTAAGTGAGAAGGTGGTGGAGGCCAAGACCGTCAGTAGTTTCAAAGCGTTATATGACAAAGAGTGCTGGGAAGACGGGACACCACGAGCGTAGCTCTCATCCTGTAACTACACTTAGGTAATTACACACACTTAGGTAATTACAATAAAAAAATTAAAAATGATAGAAAAATGAGGGCAGTAATCAGAGGCAATGTATCGGACTTGAGAAATGTCACAAGTGGAGTACCACAGGGTTCAGTTCTTGCACCGGTAATGTTGAATCAGTCTACATAAATGATCTACCAGTTGGAATACAGAATTATATGAACATGTTTGCTGATGATGCTAAGATAATAGGAAGGATAAGAAACTTAGATGACTGTTATGCCCTTCAAGAAGACCTGGACAAAATAAGTATATGGAGCACCACTTGGCAAATGGAATTTAATGTGAATAAATGCCGTGTTATGGAATATGGAATAGGAGAACATAGACCCCACACAACCTATAAATTATTTGAGAAATCTTTAAAGACTTCTGATAAAAAAAAAAAAGAGATCTAGGGGTGGTTCTAGATAGAAAACTATCACCCAAGGACCACATAAAGAACATTGTGCGAGGAGCCTATGCTACACTTTCTAACTTGAGAATTGCTTTTAAATACATGGATGGCGAAATACTAAAGAAATTGTTCACGACTTTTGTTAGGCCAAGGCTAGAATATGCAGCGGTTGTATGGTGCTCATATCTTAAGAAGCACATCAACAAACTGGAAAAGGTGCAAAGACATGCTACTAAGTAGCTCCCAGAACTGAAGGGTAAGAGCTACAAGGAGAGGTTAGGGGCATTAAATATGCCAAAACTAGAAGACAAGAAAAAGGTGATATGATCACTACGTACAAAATAGTAACAGGAATTGATAAAATCGATTGGGAAGATTTCCCGAGACTTGGAACTTCAAGAACAAGAGGTCATAGATTTAAACTAACTAAACAAAGATGCCGAAGAAATATAAGAAAATTAACTTTCACAAACAGAGTGGTAGACGGTTGGAACAAGTTAAGTGAGAAGATGGTGGAGGCCAAAACCTTCTGTAGTTTCAAAGCGTTATATGACAAAGAGTGCTGGGTAGATGGGACACCATGAGCGTAGCTCTCATCCTGTAACTACACTTAGGTAATTACAACTATGGTATATACGAGTGCCACTCAGGCTCTTGCACCACCCCATAACTGCTATTCAACAAATCTCTAGTGTGTCATACTTTTCCTGATATCCTTAAAAAAGCAAGAGTAATGCCAGTTCATAAAGGAGGTGAGACAGTTGACATAAATAATTACAGACCAATATAAAATCTACCAATACTGTCAAAAATGTTTGAAAAAATTATTTACAAAATGCTCTTCTCCTTGTAAAGCTCAACATATTAAGTCCCTGCCAGTTTGGCTTCTGTTCCCAAAAGAGTACCAACGATGTCATTATCAGTCTGCTTGATATACCCTACACAGCCCTTCACAAAAATTAGTTCCAAATTGGCTTCTTCATTGACCCGAGAAAGGCCTTTGATATTGTAAACCATGACTACCTCTTAATTAAACTTCACCGCCAAGGAATCCAAGGCCTTGCTCTGAACTATATTCAATCATATCTTAGTGACAGACACTAATATGTAGCCATCAATGACATAACCTCCCCTACTCTACCATTAACTGAAGGAGTGTCAAAAGGGCAGCATCTTAGGGCCTCTCCTATTTCTTATATACATTAATGATTTGCCAAATATCTCTTAATATTCTTAAATTTTATTTCTTTATTTATTTAAATACAAGAAGATACATTGGGTTTGTGAGAATACATAGCATAGTATTTACAATCTTGTAAAGCCACTAGTACGTGCAGCGTTTTGGGCAGGTCCTTAATCTAACAGATAATTTTAAGTAGGTAAATTCTAGCAGAATTAATAAAATGATAACAAATACATTGCAAGAAAAAAAATGTGATGAGAGAGATTGGTAAGTATATTAACCCTTAAAGTGCGCATCACGTCATATGACGTGTTGGACGTTGTTCCAGTCATCTGCGCATCACGTCATATGATGTGTTGGAGTACTACGCAAGATTTAAACGGCCCGCGGATACACGGGGTTCACCACACCTTCATCAGGGCTCTTGTAAACAGACGCCATTTTTTTAAAAAATCGTGGGCCAAACTCCCGGGTGTTATTGGCCTCAGTATTGAGTGAGCAACCAAGCCTGATGCACGCAGTATGAGCTAACAGCACTGCTGTTCAGCTTGTGACCACAGCATCGCCTAAAAATGCCAAAATATACTTGTTCATGCTATTATGTAGGGATGATATTATTACAGAAGACCCCTGACTGTGATAAAACTGACCAGGGTTCTGATAATAGCAGGATAGTGGTGATATTTAGTGCTGTGCGCTATGGAGGGAGGAGTAATGCTGTGAGAGGGAGGATGGTGGCGATGTCTGCTGACTGTGTGTGGCCACCTTTTATTGACTGCACTCAGCATACCAGCTTAGTGGTTTGCTATGGTGAACACAAATGTAGATACTTATATATAACGTGTGTATAGAGGGTATAAACAGCAAGAGAAGGTTTGGAGCCGCCATTTTGGTGAGGGCGGTGGCGTCGTCTGCACGATGCCACCGTGCAGACGAAGGTGTTGTTTACTGGTTACCACGATGGTCTTTGGGCTCCATACCAGTTTATTTGTACAAGTATGGTGAATAAAACAGGTAGATATTTATATATAATGTGTGTATTGTTACGGTGCCCTCTCCTATTTCTTTCGTTTGCCGGCTTAAAGAGTCATATCAGCTCTCCCTACTGATTCTCTGAGGTTCAGGGAGTCTAATGATATATGTGGCGACCAGACCGGCTGCCAGTTAAGGGAAGGAAGTTATATTATAAGTTGTAAATAAAGGAAAATTGGCGCCCTGTTATAAAATGAAACAGTATCCCCTACGGCGGATATGAC